AACCAATTAAAACTGAATAGGTGATATCTTTTTTTTGTTATATCATCTTTAGTGGGCTTTTTTCAAATCGCTAAAATCAAATCTCGATAAAAATAAATTAACATTTTTAAGGACAAATAGATAAATTCGCGCCTTGGTAAAATATCCACTTAAACGGAATTATTTTATAATAATTTAAGATCCACTCTCTGTTATAAACATTTAAAATGATAACAGATATAAATTGGAAACAAGATTTTTTATTCTAAAGCAATTGTTTTGTAAAACACGTTCTGATTGGCTAATGTTTGAAGCAGTAAACGAGCATTAACGTGAGTGAAAGCTTTTCATTGTGACGTCATAATAAAGCAACGCAAAAACACAATGCTCCGTGACGTATTTTATATATCAAAACTCAACAAAATAAGAAATAAACAACAAACAGAATGCATCAATTGCATTAGAATGGGAATAACTTATCTTCTAATTTAGTGTTTGCGTCCGTTAATGCTGATTTAACGGTCGCAAACACCTGTTTTACCGGCTCCGCTTACTCATCGCCGGTAAAACTCAGTTTGCGACCGTTAAATCAGCATTAACAGTCGCAAATACCAAATTAGAAGATAGTTATTCCCTAATTTATTTATTTTTATTGTACAGGGAAGTATCATCTACAGAATGAGAGTTATAATCGATCAAAATCTTTGGGAGGGCGAGTGGGCAGCACGAATCTCCGCCAAGTTTGTATCGTATCTACTATGTACAAACTACCGATTTCCCTTAATTAATTGTGACACGATTAACCAAATAAAAATACAGGCGATCGGACAGCTCTTCGTATACGAGGTGTGATCAAAAAATTTGCAAACTATCTCTGTATTTTGAAAACTAAAATTCAATTTTCAAATGAATTTTGTCATTCACATGTTCTTTGATTAGCAGATGATATTATTTTTCTTTTCCCCAGGATTAAAATAACGTCAATATGTAGGTACGTTTTGACGAAAAAATGGTTCATCCAGTCATACTAGAGAAATGAACGGCTGTAACGTTTACTGTATATCTAGGAAAATCCTTTGGACTACCAACTAATAATTTGTACAAGGTTGATGGAAACAAAAGTCTTGTCTGGAATTCGGTAATTAATTGGACTAATTGTTTCCGTGAAGAAAGGGATATGGTTAAAATGACGTTTGTTCTGTTCCCAGTGAAGGCAAACTGGATTAGAATTTTGTCTTTGGATAGCAATTTATTTGAGAGATTGCCTGGTAACAGTCAGGAAAGAAGGTAGAACAATTTTTCTTCTTATCAAAAGTAACTTGCAAGGTATAAAATATAAGATTTGTTCTACCTAATTTCGAATTGTTTTTCTAAAGTTGGAAATTTACATGTTATGGGAAATATTTCTCCAAAATTTATAGTAAAAAATGTGTTCTATTTTTGTACGTGCTTTTATCAATGGAAACATTTTCATTCTTAGAACGCATGGTATTTTTAGATACAAAATAGTTAAAGGAAACAAGACATTTAACGTAGACATTTAGTCCTGATATTATTACCGCCCGTTGCAAGGAATGAAAATTTAATATGTGTATGTTTAAGGAATGTTTTTAAGTTTTGTGTGAGTTATTGGTGTTTGAATCTCACAGACTTGTTACGTAGGCATATTTATATACAAATATATATATGAAAAATATGCCTACGTGCAAGTTAGTGTGATTCTCATACAAATAATTCACACCAAAATTTGAAAAAGGCCTTACATTTACATTTAACAAGTTTGGAAGCATTAAAAATATACTCAATATTTGAATTTCTTGCTGCCCTATTTCGTTGCATTTTTCTAACGTTTCTGAAGCCTCATTGGGACGTCACGTTAGCGCACGTTTCTCCGTTTAAATTTCTACGAAGGCATATACGAAAATGGTTTTCAAATCAATTTAACAGTTGGCTTGCTAGAAAAACACAGCAAATTCAAATATAACAGATTGGTATACGTAGTTTATAAATAGAGAGTTAATGTTTGTGAGATTTTATCAGAAGAATGAGTTTTTTAACTAAAACTGTGTCTGGATAATTTTGCAATTATTAATCGTCAGGTTAGGTTTCAAAGGATACTGGCAAAATGCTTAATGCATGAGTTGTTTGCAATACCCATGAAATAACACTTACGTAATCAATGTTCTGTTATGTACTTGTGTATATATCTACAACGAAATTAACATATCTTAACTGATCTTCAATAATGATATGTTTACAAGATATTGCTTTGCTATATGCAACCTTAACAGAACCGTGCACTCCTTTCTTTGTGCAGATGATCTTTGCTTACTTTGAACATTAAATATTTGAATTACTATTTACATTCCATTTGTCGCTTAGAATAATCTTTTGATGTACTCGTAAATGATATAAAAACACACAGGCTAAAAGAACTGAATCTAAATCTAAAGCGCAACTAAGCGTATTTGTTTTAACAAATTCAGTTTATGTCTGCTATAAAATAAAACAAAAATCTACATTTAAGCTAGTGAGTGCCTATTGTTATTTCCCATTCACATGATTCATAACCATTTAAATATACATATGCAATTGATCAATATTATTGTTTGTTTTAAACTGCTCTCTTAAAATTTAAAGCAGCTTTAAACTCAAAAAGCTTTACATAGAATAATATCACGAAAATAGTGATGGATTGTCTTTACGTATCATGTATTATTCTTATATTTTCCAATTTCATCAAGTCCTTTCAACAGTCGACCGACTATGTACATGTTTATAACAATGACAATCATATAACATCTACCAACATCTTGTCGGAAATAACAAATATTCCTAGTTTGTCGAGTTGTAGTGCTATGTGCAGGAAGAGGGCTGATTCTCTCTCCTTCTTCCACAATTTTGGCATTAAGAAATGTATGTGTACAGGAGAGGTACAACAGAGTAACCTTCTACCATTTGTAGTATACGTGCATTTTTCCTCGTCAGGTAGGTTTCTATTGTTTCCTTTTACACATCAAATTGTTTTGTGGCATATGGGTAAAGTATTTGGTAATAAAATTGAACAACACAAAAAAATAAAAGGTAGTGTTAGGAATATTCCGTTTTATGTAAAGTTCATTTTGATATTGGTTTGTAATTATAGCTTGACAAAAGTAATGAACATCCAAAAGATCGTACCAGAGTACTATTAAAGAACAATTAGGTCGCAATTAGTGAGATTAATACTTAATCAAAATTATAATCTACATTCCATTGCTGAAGACTGATGAATTCGAAAATAAAAGATGAATATTGCACGATGTTTCTTACTTTACATTATCTCCCTTAGATTTTTTTTTAAAATAATGTATACAGTAAAGATCAAACAAATAGAGAAACGAGAAAGTAAACCCAGACACAAAAAATGCATTAAATATCATTAAAATATCAATAACCCTGTTTATATCGATACATCGACCACAATGCATTATTTCATGCCCTTTATTTTCAAGGCAGATTTAAAACAAATATTTGATATGCATGGCTTGTCTTTATTTAATTGAGATCCGATGATCGTCAAACAGTCTCCTTTGTTTTACATGCATCTATTCTTCCGTCATCAATAATTCAAAAGTAAAAAAAAATAAGCTGATTACAAGGTCAAAATACTTGTCACAGCTTCCAAACCTTTGTCTTTACTTCCCACTGAAGTATTAACAACAGTAAAGGAAAAGAAATCAGTATACGCTATTATAATATAGTTGAGAAGTGTTGTAAATCACTTCAGAATAACTAAATCTCCAAATTACTTTAAGGAAATTTAAACTTAACCGCTCTTCTATGACATAAGGGCCTTTGACATTGTTTTACAAATAGAGACAAAAAAGGAAAACAAACAATTTAATATACTGAAAATTCAAAACTTCGTAGAATTCAACTACACAACATAAATATCCATTCTTAATAAAAGAAAATTAGTGTAGCTTTAATTTTATTTTTTAAAAGAATATCAAGGAAATTTATTTTGAATATCGCAAACTAATTATTTATATAAGTGGCGACATATTCATTCGCCACTTGTCAGTTTAGAATCTCTCTGCAATAACTAATATATCATTATCTTCTATACACAAGTGAATGTTGGGTGGTGCTGATAAATATTTGCAAGTAAAAGAATATTGCAAAACACGAAGATAATGAAAGTTGGTTAACAAAACAGTGTGTATACACTTTCTGATATTTATTTATATTTTTAAATAAAAGTAGATTTAAAACTTCTAAATAATTGTTTTCGCTGTTTACTTAATTCGAATTCTAAAGATACTTTATAGCCTTATTCATTATTTGATTTTTTTTTCTTTTTGAAGAAACCTCTCACATTATGAAAAAATGGTGTCCAGTCTGTACATTTTTTTATCGGCCATACTAGAACTATAATGGTGGCAGATTCCATGAAGGTTTACATAGAAAAAAAAAGCACAATAATTTTTTATCTATTTACTATTTGAGATAAATTCTTCCGTCGATGTTTTGATTTCTCGTTATATCTTCTACGAGTAATAATAATACCACTGATGCTAAAGTAACATTGCACCAGCCTATTTGCTTTGAAAATTTGAAGCAAGAGAATTTGTGTTATTGAAGGAAAGATGACAAAAGTCGTGTTTTTATCTGTTTGTTGATTTATTTTAAATGTAATATTAAAACTGCAATCTCTTAGTTATGTTTTACATTCTATTATTAAGAAAGACGGTAGCATTAATTTCCTTTAATTCTACCCAAGTAAATATGGCTTGGAAAATGGGCTGGAATGTTTTAAAATAAAAACTTAAGAAATGGAATATATCCAGTCTATGCAGGATCGCATGATTATTAATGAGAAATAAATCACATAGGAGCAATCTCATGAATATAATGCACAATTTTTCTTCCATATGAAGTTCATGTATTTATCAAAATAAAATATTTAAAAAAAAAAGATAATAATACTTGTTAATACATAAGAAATTAAACAAAGTGATATGAGTTAATTCCATTTTTTTGTTACAGATATCTCGATCTGGAAAGTGTTTGGGAAATCCCACTATCTACATATGAAGAAAGAAATAAAATGGCTAGACGCACAGGTAACAATGATAAATCAAGATGTATAATAAAACTCGTCCCCGTTATACACTGGTGTAAAAGTACATTTTATTTTTATCTAGGTTTAAATAAATACAGAAAATAATTCAGTAATTTATTCTAGTCCACACATATTTGTTTCTTATATAAGGATTTTGATTAAGCCATCTTAAAAACGAAATGTTTTACACTTTGCATTTTATATGACTTCTACATCGATGCAAGAAGATTTAGCTTCTTCTCGTTAAAAATGCTGATACCACGTTTTTTTTCCTGTATTCACAACTTAATTTAACAAGATTCCACGTGACATTATTAGGTACGGGGAACATGACCTACTTCCAACAAATTCTACTGTTGATACCCTTACTTTGTTTGCAAATACATTTTGCCTATAGGTTGCATATTGACAATCGAAACTGATTCCATCTGTGTAAAGAGTCTAAAATTTGCTATCCTGGCATTTAATCGGAACCCCGTATATACCAATGTAATATCGCACATGATTTAATGATATCGAAATGTTTTGAAGTTCCCTGCATATATATAAAAAATTCACAAAAAATGCGAAGATTAAGAAGAATTGATTTTCTGTCAACAGATTGAATGTCGAGAACTTGGGGCAAAATTAGCAGAAATAGAGACATTGGAAGAAAATATTTTTCTGAAGAGCACCGCAAGGGAGAGTAGCTATGGTTAGATTTTCTTTTTGGAAAAGTACATGCATTAGGATTCGTGAAACAACTTATTAATTTATCTTCTTGGTAATAATTTCTGAAGACATTTGCCGAATTGTCCTATTCTAAATTTTAATTTAGGTTCTTGTCTTTGTTTCCAACAAATTGCTATAATTTTTTTAAATAATTTAATAATTGCTGTCTTTTTTCTTCTTAGTTGACATTCAGTGTAATTGGCAAAATCTTTCATTAGATCATTCAAAACGATTCTTAAACATGTATATTTTGCATTTACCAGTAATAGAAAACGTGTTCTTTTCTTTGTTAAAGGCAACACATTTATCGGAGGAACAGATGCCTTCTCTCAGAACAGATGGAGATGGTCAACAACATTTCAACCGGTAAACTTCAGTGATTGGGCACCTAACAAGCCTGATACATCTGGAGGTGATGAATGTATGGGTTTATCTGCTAACTTTGACATGATGTGGGATGATATGAACTGTGATGCAAATCAAGCTTCTTTCATGTGTGAGCGGTTAATTGTTTGAACGCAAAAAGATTAACAAGATCTTATCAATATGGACCTAGCTAGAAAGACCTATATCTTCGTAAAATTTGTTTATTATATATAATATACATTTGTCGGATCAGATCTTCAAAGTGATTCAAAGATTGGAACTTCACTTGATAAATAATTGAGTGCACACACTATTTTTCATTTACTCATATGGAAATTCCAGAGGTGGTATCAAGTGCTTACAAGAAGAGAGAAAAAAAAACCGCCATGGGCCCTATGCACAGATTCAGTAAATAAAGAAATTTGTAGTCAATTTTGATATAAAAACAAAGCACTTTCATTTTTTTTTAAAGAAAAGTGTTAGTTAAAATTAAATAGAAAACCCAAGATAGATTGATGAAGCGGTAAGTATAACAATAACAGATCGAAAATTGAATTTATGAAATGTTGTCTATAAACGATGCTGTTTAATTCCCTATAATAATCTCTTACAGTGTTCTCTTTTTTTATGGTAGCCTGCCTCAATTTAATGATTAAGGATAAAAACAGAGCATGATACTGCTTATAGAATAAATGACAGTAAAGAGACAAAATCCATATACAAGTGGTAGAGAAATCCACCAAAGAATTAAGGAATAGTTACAGTAGAAATTCTGTTTGTTAAAGATCTAGATATGAAATAGAATGTGACTGACTCTGTGGTGGGTTTACTTGAAGATAGTATCAACTGGGAATATCAAGTCGTTCAAAACATAAGCGTAAAAAAGGCGGAGGGAAGTCCAATTTTTGATTCCTCGACACAAGAATCTGTGATTATGTAAATTGCAAATCATAGACTTTTTTTAAAGCAGCATAATTTACTGAAGAAAATGTTGCTTAACCCCTTCACTTCCGTACCGGTCAAATTGACCGGTGGCGCGTTAAAACACGACTTCGCGAAAATAAGATCTCCGTATCTATTTAATGGTAGCATGAAGGTATATAAACTATATATCGTCTTTTCGGAAATTTTCTCTACTTTTAAAATATCTAAAAAGATTATGTCTTGATTGCCGGTATTTAATCGATTTTACGTTGTAAAGACAAACGTGACTTTTTGAAAATGGCGTAATTTTCCAAAGCGATTGCCGATTTTCCAGACGATTGACAATTTTTTCCTATTTAACTTTATGAAGAAAGCATGGTATATTCTTAAAGCATATTTTCTCTACTTTTAAAATATGTAAAAACTATTGTTATTACTTTAAGGTATATTTTAAAAACAAGAATTTTCTTGCACTTATGTGTTTTTTCTCGGTTTTATTCGTAATGTTTAAACAAAGCTCAGTTTTATGTTTATTTCTGTGTTGAAATAGGGAAAACAAAATAAAGCTGGTAAAAGTGGAGAAAATTTCCTTTCCAACAAGCCCTTACAGGCCTTCTTACGCTCAGTATTTTTTTAATTACGATAATTTGAATTTGTGACCTTCGCATAGTTTTTATGGAAAAATCGGTCAATATTTACCATGTAACGTCAAGGTCGATATTGTTGCGTCTTACTCGAAACAACAAATTCTTTTATAAGACTTTTTTGACCATTTAAATATATATTTTTTACTGAAATAAATGCATAATACAAAAATACATTTAAAAAAACAAATATTTACTATCGTTCTGCCTTTTGTGTGAAATGAAATGTCAATTTATTCATGATTTATAATGATGAAAATTTCATGTAGTGATGTACAATGTTGAGAAAAATTGTAGATTCCCTAAACGTCGATCTTTACTAAAAAAAAATCAGATTTTAATGTAGTTGTATCTTGTTATATTGTATACTTAATTTGCAAATTAATTAGATCTATATTAGCACGAAATTTAACAAAACAAGAATTCGCATTTATAAATAAATACGACTCATCACTGTATGAGTTGATACGAATTGAAATAACCACGTGTTTCCGCTATGGTAGCAGTAAACAAACAACATGATGGTGATCCGAAATCTGAACGTCAATTTTCATGATTATTTCACGACGAAGATCATCACATCAATGAATCAAATAATACGGACATCCTTTGGTATTAGCAGGTGAGAATACGTGTATATTGACTGAATAGTTTAACTTTAAAACGCAATTAGTTCACGTTCAAAAGAAAACTAAATGTAGACATGTACATGTACTAGATCTTCTTATTTCAGTGTGCGTATTTCGTATTGTTCAGCCAATTTTGTGTTGCTTTTGAACTTTGATGCTTCTGACAAACACTCGTAAGTTCAAAGTAAAATCAAAGTTGCCATAATATTAAATAGATAGTTGTTTTCAGTATGTGTGTACCAGTGTGTACATATACCACTTTCACTTTGAATTTTTAGGGTGCTGGCAACATATGCAACAATACTTTCATCTGTGAATACCCACTTGCTAAGCCCACCATGATCTACGAATGCCAATTAATATGTAAGGACACCAATGAACAGGTAAATTTTTGTTTTGTTGTTGAAAATTTCTGTATTTCTAAAATTTCAAAAAATAAAGTCAAATTTCATTTGCGTCATTCTCATGATAAATCATTCATATGAGTTTATAAACATTTGATTTATATTTTGAAAAATAAGTGTTTGAAACACATAATACTTATGATGCTTGATTATTCATACAAACACATTATTTAAACACGTAATATCTATTTGAATGAATGCCGAGGTATGAAACAAGCTGTTTTTATAGACTGCTGTTGTATTTCCAATCTGCATAAAGTTTGTGGTTAGAATTTCCATTTTCTCATTTTTTCAGACACTTTCCAATTATCGTACATCATATATATGGGTGGTCAAACTCTCTGGATGGTTTATCAACACTCCCATGCTCACGAACAGCCTGAATTTGCCCTGAAGTAACATTGCAGTCTATTGTCTCCCTTCTTTTTACAACCCTGGCAGCCATGCAGGTATGCAATCTATGAAAGCCATGAAGGGACATAGAATTTTTAAAAATTTATAAAAGTAAACCAAGTTCTCGATTTACACAATCCATTCTCTGGGATTGACAATCTGTTATAACAAATTGCCAATTCATATTCTCACAGATTATCTTCCCTCAAATTACACAATCCATTATCTCAGATTGTATAATTCATTCTCTTAGTTTAATTGACACGTTCCCTCGGAATGTAAACCCTTCCCATGATTTCATTAAAATTATTTATCTGTACACATCGGATATGGTAATACATGTTTAAAGAATAGAGTATTGTAGTATTTTACATCCAACCTTTTATTACATATTACCATATTACCAAAATGAAAAAATACATGAACATTTTCAAATCCATATGCTAGTACTGATATTTGTACAACAAAAAATCTTAGAGGTTTTTGGTTACGTGTATATTAAGATAATTGAAAATCCGATATAGTAAAGTGAATATGGGTCCTGTGTAATCATAATATTTCTAAAATAAATATACGTTGAATTAGTTATGAAAGAGGTTGGAAATGACCGGTTGCTGAAACAAAATAAAAAGAAGTGAACGCACTAATTGATTAAAATGGTTGGATGTATCTGTACATATATGTAATAAAATTCAAGAGCACAGATTGCCAAAATCATAGGACTGACGTTGTAACAAATCGAGATCTCGAATTATTAATCTGTGAAAACGAATTACCAGTATGTAATTCGAGATCTCAAATTATGAATCAAGGGGGCGAATTAGTATTCTGTAAGATCGGATTGTGTAACTCGAGATCTCGAATTATAAATCGAGGGAATGATTTAGTATCCGTGGAATTGGATTGTCTAATTTGAGATTTCATTTTTTACTTTTTTGAAAAATTGCTGTGTCCCTTCATGGCTATCGTAGCAATCTAATTAAAATTAGATCTTCCATCCACTGCCAGATTTTTTTTTATATATTGCGATAGCGTAAACAGAGGTCTGGCTTTAGTCAGATTGCCATATATGCTATTTGTTTTAGTTCAGTAATTTTACCATAATGGTTTACTACAAGGTTGTTGAATTATCAGTCCTGATACATTGACTTAACAATATCATTTAACTGCTTGAATCACACAATAGATGCAATCTTAATTTTAAAAGGAAAATCAAATAAATGTAGTAATTTTAGCATTCTTAATTTTATTTATAAATGTAAATTCATATACACAATGACATGTATCTGTTTCAAAATATTTAAATCTTTTACAGGATAGAAGCTGATCACTTGAACTTGAAAGCAAATTATAATGTCTTGGACAAGTCAAAGAATTTCCTCCAGTCTTACAGAGAAGTAACAGTTGATAAGAGAATGGTGGACACAAAGTAAAAGTGCTCTTCAACATTTTGTTGAAGATTTCAGTCTGATTTGGAATTCATCTTGCAATATATCTGGATTTGTATATTTGGATATAAGCATCAAATTTTCAACTTATTGACTAAACAGTTTTGGGCTAAATATTGCCAATGCTATTTATTATTATCATTTCCCTCCAAGATAACATGTCAAGTCTTTATTGAACCCCTTAAGCTCTGTTATACCAGAAAAATCTTGAAATGAAATCATTTAGTTTTTTTTCTTGTTAGATTAAATCCATGAAAATAAAGATTATTTTTAATGGCATCAAGAGAATGGATTTCTTGTTTAACAAAAAGATTGTATACATGTTTTGCTAGGGGTTTGTAAGAAGCAGACCAGAATTCTTTGCTTGCCATTTTTATTACGTCAACTATTAGATGATTTCTCCATGTATGAAGCATTTCTAAATTGATATTTACTTACAGTTTAAAGCAGAATTCTGTACTGATATGACCTTGACCCCCTGAAGAACAAGAGTGTCAAGGTCAATTTTTTTAATACAAAAATGTTCTTTCATCTTTATGGCCCATATATATCTTACAAACAATATCATGAAATATACAAAAAGTGTCTAGAATGTGTCCAGAATGTGAAATAACAAACATGTATATAGCCAAAACCTTTAAAATGTTGTTGCTTAGCAACCACTAAAAGGTCATTAAACAGATATTTGAACTAAAATGATGCATGGATATTGCAGTTCTGATCCCTTCTTGAGAGTATATTCAGAATTTTCCATTTCAGCATCCATTGTGTAAAATTATGGCAAGAATATCGAAATGTGTTGAAAAAAGTTGATGAAACTTTTGCACTTAATTGACCTTTGACCTCCTAGAAATAGTTCTAATGAGGTCAAACTTTAACACAATTTATCTACTGTATGTCCCTTGTAATTTTATGACCTCACATCTAACTTTAATATGTGCATGGATGCATAAATGTATCTAGATTGAGTAAAAAATGAAAATTTCTGCCCGAAAATTAAAGAATTCTGCGTTGCTTAGCAACCCCTTTTAAGTAGTTATATGCAGAATTGAAAAAAAAGTTTATGTGTTTCGTGTACTACAGTATAATGCTCTTTTGTGGGTATATCCCAAATTTCCTATTTCAACATACATAATACTTAATATTTAGCTTGAAGATTAAAAAGTATCAAAAAATTCCATAAAATGTTGCACTTAATTGACCTTTGACCTCAATTTTTACTAATAAGGTCAGTGGTTGAGCATCTAAATAGTCATAAAATATCATCTCTATGTAATCCCCTTCAAAATGGTATGCATTATGCCTAGCTTTCACCTAGGATAAAAAAGTTAGAAATAATTTAGTAATGACATGTCAAAAGGCCTCCAAAAACACGTAAAATGCGCCGGAAGAGAAAGGGTTAAAGAATCAGTCTTTTCTTTAAACTTTAATATGCCATTAAATAATTGATGAGGCTACATAATATGTATTATAAGAAATATTCTTCATCACAGAAGAGTCAAGTGTTGTATTCCACCATACTTCAAGTCAAAGACTACACCTTATATTTTCTTACAAAAATACATCGACCATTGTTTCAAATCTTTTCAATTCCAAAAAAACTGTACACGGCCTGGATACCGAGTATCTGAAACATAATCCTCCATCGTGTCCATGTTCTTCTTCATCCTATAACTATAGTCCCGCTGGACACGTTATTATAAGTGACGAAAATATATTATATTTAATAATGAGGACCTTAGATCACTTATTTTAAAAGGTCCTAAATATAGGAAACCCTGATTCTTCAACTGGCGTCGGAATTTCATAAATATAAATTCTGTTGAAGAATACGCCAGACGATGGGCCAGATATGAAAATGAAGACGTTGACACTTTGTCAGAATGGATTAAATATATCAGATCCATGTTAAAGTCGCGTATTAAAAGACTGAGGCGCAATATGAAAATCTTATATGCTTCTGTGTTCGAAAATCCAAAAGTGAAAAAAAAATAGATAGATTACATGAATAGTACGAGGAAAAAGCAGGTACCAACATTGTGTTCCAATGTAAGGCTCATAATATAAATTGTATTTTTGACGAACTTGGATTTAATTCTACAAGTGATAATCCAACTTATACTCAAACTTCCCTTTCCAAGGAAGAAATTCTTCAAAATCATATGCCAGTTTTGAATATGTTTAATATTCCACAGAGCCAAAATGAATTTGAGATACATGTATATACTAACTTAAGGAATTTTCTTCATCTAAACGTAGTATCTTACACGTTCAATCTTTGCATGCTTTTTTTTCTCCATATAACAGTTATAAATAAAATGACTGTATAATATAAATTGACATCTTACTGGTAGACGAGCTGTCTTCTCAAAACAACTGGGTATGTAGCATATATCAAACTGGGCATAAGTTTACTTAAGACTATGGTATTGAACGCAGCCGTGACATATATGGTCGGTAGAGGTCGTTGATTAAAAGATCATGAAAATCATCATGGAATCTGAAGACACCCTAGAAAGCGCTGGCGCATGCGCGCTTAGCACTTAAAAATGGAACTCGTAAATTAACTTACCTGGTCATTGGTCATTTGCAAAATTATTTTGTTAAAACATATTCTGACTGCCCACACAAGTATTCCGAAGTTGACATCAAAAAGATGCTTGAGTTTCTGATTGACAATGTTTATGTGGTTTTTGGAGACAGGGTCTTCCAACAATCTTTTGGAATTTTAGTGGGTACCAGTTGCGCTCCGTTATAAGCAGACCTATTTTTGTATTGATATGAAGCAAAATTTGTGCAAAAGAAAAAAAAACCCACTTGTTGTGGCCTTCAACTTGGCATTTAGATATATTGATGACGAATTGACAAATGAAGAAACAATTATGGTTATTCCATTCCTACGTCGATACAATACATCTTTGTGAGGTTGAGATAAGATACCACGGAATCTGACACATCTGTTTCATACTTGAATTATTTACTTGAAAAAGACGATAATGGCAGTCTAACAACCAAGCTATATGATAAAGATTATAACTTTAACTTTTCTATCGTCAACTTCCCTTACTTATCCAGCAATATACCTTCATCACCTGCATACGGAATTTATATATATATCAATTGATTCAATATGCAAGAGCATGCTCTACGTATGATCAATTGAGAAAACGAGGTAAATTATTGACAAGCAAGTTGATGAAACAAGAATATCAGCAGTCTCGTTTAAAGTCACCATTTCGTAAGTTTCTATGATCGATACAATGACTTGTCAGCAAATACAATTTATCATTGAGTCAAATGTTGACTGACATTTTTCATACTAATTGTTATTATTTATACAATGAATTGACGACGGATTTTTCCGTTCCTTCCCGATCATGACAAGGAGTACACGGCGGGTGTGACCGGTCAGCAGGGGATAATCAGTCCTCCATGGCACCTGATTTCAACTCTGATGTTTTAGAAGTCCGGGTTTGCTCTGTGCTGTCTTTAGGGACTTTGGTGTTGAATACTGTTCGTTATTTCCATATCCTTCTGATTGATTCATAACGTTCTATTGTAAATATTAGTCATTTACCTGTGGGAAGCCTCTCGATTACTAATTTGATTTTATCGACCTGTCAGGTCATGTTTGGGTAATGAACATTTTCGAAATCTTAGACATTTGACATGATACTAGGGACAGCGGACTGCAAAGAATAGGCAACTTTCGGGGAGCGTATGAAAATACGTTTAAAGCATGTTTATCATACAGAGAAATTGTTCTCGTGATACGCTTCACACTGCTAGGCTTGTCTACAAGGAAAGGGGTGACACAATCATTTTGTGTCAAAGTCACGAGTCGATTCAAATCGGATCATAATTCTTTTTATTTCCGTTTAATTGAAGTATTAAATAATTTTAATTCAATGACTGATTTTAACAAATAATAAGTTCCCATGAAATTAAATAAATTATACTTCGGTTTTTAACCTGAGTCTCAAACTTTTAGTTTTAGTAAAAACACATAGTGATGTAAACTGGACGTAGGTCATGAACAAATTTCAATATCGCAAAAGCATACCCTTGTTTAAATTTTAAAAAAAATATAACTTAGTAATCGTCTTTACATTCTGTTTACTTTCTGGGACGTGGTGCTGCTTTCAAAAGAATTCACATTTTGTTAGTCAAAAAATGATAACAAAATGTATGCCCTTAAGAAAAGTCAATTTAATTTGACCCTTCTATGTTAAAAATACCAAACCTGTACACAAAAAACACGTTTGAATCAATTATATTATTATATTATATTTTCGGAAACCTGTATATATATTTTCTTTCTTTTTGTAGAGATACATGTTGCGTAATTCTACGGTTAACTTTTTTGTAGAAGCTATATTATATGACACTTCGATTGTTTCAGTCAGAGGAAAAAGAGCAATCGAAGCATAAGAAAGTACCACTCCTGAAGGTCTTTTTTCCATATTTAACGACAAAGCAATACCAACCCTTTGTATTATCCGACATAAACAAGTCTGTAATCTAAAATTTAGCACGACATGGGCATTTAGTGGATAACTTATTTTGCAACAGAATCAAATGGTTATCATAAATAAAATAATTAATAAGTCAGTCAATCACAATTGATATAAACTTCAGAAAAAAAGGCTCTTGAATCATATAGCGTGGATGAGCTTATTCTTAATTCAAGCTACGCGACATGTTCATACCTTGTATAACTTTATGTTGTAACAGAATCAAATTGTCATCCTAAACGAAATGATGATTGAGTAAGTCATACTTAATTGATCTTGACTTTCAAATTAAGGCTCTAAACCCATAAAACGTGGAAGAGCTTATTTTAAATTGATGTCAATTTCACACTTGAAGTAAAAAGGGAAGATCAAAGAAGAAAATGTAACTTTGAACAAATGTAAAATTTGTCTACATTAAATGGTTCTGGGATATAGTTTACACTGTGTTCTAGTTATTGTACGAGGGTTGTCCGGTAAAATCGTGGACAAGTTGTTTCGCGTGAATAATAATCATCTCTCCGTTCTGAAATTTTTACTACTCATTAATACTTTTCTTCGGAATAAACAGCAAATTTTAAAAAAATTATATGCATAATAAACAAAGAATGAGATTTTATGTTATGTATTGTGTCGCTTAACGGCGCTCAGATGATAACGTCAAATTGTCTAAAACAGAATCACGTTTCATCTTTTGCGCTAAAAATAAAGTTTGATAAGTCCCACTTAAATTTAGGAATTTCCTTGATGCACATACTTTAGTCTCCATAAACAGTTGATGAGCCAATTTGGCAAAAACGTGCAATCTTCTGACGTTTTTTTTTTTTTTGGTAAGTTACAGACAATATTCCCACCATCATTCAACTAATAACAATCTTGTATTGACGAGCAACAGTGACATCGTCTTTTGCTATTACAATTGCTGTTGTGCCCCATGTTTTGTACTATCTGTGACTTCGTTCAAGGAAGACTTTACATAGAAAACTTTTATTCAAAAGATCTGGTAATTTTGTGGGGATTTTTTTTCCCTCTGAATTCATTTAAAGTTTCTTACGGCGTTATTACACCATTTAAATCAAAGCAAATGCTCTCCAGTGCACCGTGACGTCATCTAACGTCACCAATTTTCGTGAGTTGTGTTCCCGTTTCGAATGCTCAGAACACTGCCAATAATTGGCATAATGCCTTGAAATTTGTTTAAAAAAAACTTCACTCACTAAGAAAACTCCCATTTTATTTCTATACTTAAGATCTGATGATTTTTATTTTTTTTTTTAATTTGTTTTCTTTATTCATTCAAAGTCACTTACGGATTTTTTTTACACAATCTAAATCAATGCGAACTTAATTAATGTAATATTTCTTAAATAAAATACTTCAAAGTCAAAAAGAGTTTCTAGGGTTCTATATTTTACTGTGTGCTTATGCAAAGACATGGCAAAACTTAATTTTCCTTTATACCATTATTCGCTCACATATGAACGAGAAACTTTTATTGCATTCGTAGTCATCCCAAGACATTTCATGGTTAGCATTCAGCGCGAGACATTCGTCACCTGTGGATGTATCCGGCTTATCGGGTGCCCAGTCATTGACCGTTACTGGTTTAAATGTTGTTGACCATCTCCATCTGTTTTGTGAGAAGGCATCTGTTCCTCCAATAAATGCCGTACCTTTTACCAAAAAAAATATTTATGTATTTTTACTAGAGACCATTATTGAATTATGGAATACCAGATTTAATAAGGAAAAAGATTTATAAAATACTTTAAGGTAAGAAAATGAGCATTTAACCATGAAGACTTGGATGAATTAAGTTTAAAGGAACAAGATATCATAAGATGTATTTTTTTCTTCCATTTTATAACTCAATGGAAATTTAAAAATCC